CTGGCCAGCGCTGCCCCCACCTGCCCTCTACCCCTCGAACACGATTGTCCCAAAGTAGTCTGAGCCCCACCATCTCTGCATTTCCCCAGGGACCCACAGGGGCAACCCCAGGTTCCTGTGGGGGACCCCTGGGTGTGCTGGCCTCACGGGGCAGAGGGAGGGGATCTGATCACATTCACCTCTGGCTGGGCACTGAGGGTGCTGGGAAACAGCCTCTCTCTCGGAGGGTAGCAGAAACAGAAAGGAACTCAGGGAACAGAGCTGCAGGGAGCCCTGGGGCAGAGGCCTTCGGGGGCCAGTGCCTCGAGGGTTTCCCTGGGCTCAGAGAGGCAGTGGAGACCTCCTAGGCCAGTCCCCCATACCTTCCTTCTCCCCACTCCCACACACACACACTGGGGACCTCCAAGGAGGGAGGAAGTCCCAGGTTCGCCACCCTGGTCGCCCCAGCAGTGGGTCCACCGGGCACACAGCAGCCCCCCAGGAGCATGCGTGCTGCAGGGTCGGTGGCCGTAAAGGTGGCCAGGCCCCTCCCAGGCTTCCACCGGGGAGCTCACCGGGCCAGCCCTCCTCCCCACCACCTTCAGTCTCAAACTTGACTCTTTCTACGGGTTTGGCTCTTTCTACAGGTTTGGCGGCTTCCTGCTTCCTCCCCAAGGGCACCCTGTCTTGACCAAGGGAACAGATTAAAGGTCTAGCTGAGCGAGGGGAGAAGGGCAGGTGCTGGGCCCACGGCTGGTGACAGCAAGGATGGATGGTCATCAATCACTCAGGAAGACCAAAGCCACTAGAAGACAACCATCCAAACCAGTGCTGGGCTGGGAGTGGCAATCATCCCAGCACTCGGGAGGCTGAGACAGGAGGAACCCTTTGACTTTGAGGACAGCCTGGGCTACAAATGAGTTTGAGGCCAGCCTAAACTGCATAGTGAGACCCTACCTCAAAAAGACAAAACAAAATAAAACAAAAAAAAGAACCAGTGTTGGTACAGAGGGACTGTTTGGTCCAACATCCCTTGCTTGCTTGGTTTTTGTTTGTATGGTTTTTGGTTTTTTGGTTTATTTTTTGAGACAGGATCTTGCTAAGCCACTAAGTTGCCCAGGCTAGGCTTGAACTTAAAATCCTCCTGCCTCAGCCTCCCCAAATGCTGGAATTACATGGGGACAACACATCCCCAACCTGGAAAGAATTAAAAGTGATTATAGCCCAGACGGCAACACGGAGCCAAACCAGCTTCAGCTCGGGGCACTGGGCTGGTCGCTGTCACCTTGTGAACCTCAGTTTGCTTGACTATCAAGGGAAGCCACAATTTCTGTCTCATGTGGTGGCTGGGAGAATGAACCAAATGGCATATGAATGTCCCTGGCTCCACCTGTCACAGGAAGTCCCCGAGGTCACCCCAGCAGGGCCAGGAGACCCCTCAGCTGTCCACCTGATCCCCTCCATCTCCAAGCCACTCACTGCACAGCCCAGCACCCGCACATCTGCACCTCTGCCCCAAGCACAGGTCTGGGCACCCAGTGGGGGCAGGACGGCCCTGTTCTGTTCATGATTCATGTCAGCCCCTGGCAGAGAAACAGCACTGGTAAATATTGTTGAATGAATACATGATCCTCCTGGAGAGAGATTCGAATACATGGGATTCCACTGAACTTTCCCGCCCACACCTCGGCTTCTCTCTCTCCGGTGTCTCCGAGTTTGCTTGCTTCCTGTTGCAGGTTCCTTTCCTTGGACTTTATTTTGGGTTTCGCTGAAATTCCCTCCAGGGCTCTCCCTCTGGTAGGAGGAGCGGAGAAGGGGTGGATTCCACCCGTGTGGGCCTGAGATGGGGTGAGAACATCGGAACCCGAGGCCAGCGAATCAGTCACAGCCTGGACCAGCACGAGGCTTGGGGGGGACATCAGAGCAGAGCCCCGAAGGTTTATGGGTATCAGGCCCTGCAGCAATGGGAGGTTGCAGCCGAAAGATCATCTCGGATTTTCACAGCCTATGCAGCAGTTATGACACGCCCACACACACACACACACACACATGCATGCATGCATGCACACGCATGCACACAATGCACACGCACACACACGCTAATTCTGGCTCACCCACCCCTCCCTTTATAAACCCAGACCCAGGACCCTGGGGAGGAGACCAAGGCCCCAGGAAAGACCCCTGTGCACGCTCCTGTCCCACTCTCCACGCAGGGCGCCCTCACCACCTCCCACGGAAGGTCGTCCCGACCAGCTGCTGCCCGTGCAAGTGGCTTGAGCCTGTGTCTCCTGGGACACAGGACAGGTTTGGGGTCACAGAGGACAGGAGAAAGCGCACCCGCTTTGGAACCAGCCCAAGCTGGATTGCCATCCGTGTGGTTTTCCTAATTTTTTGTTTTGCTTTTGTCTTTTGCTGGTACAGGTTTGCAGCGCTCAGCATTTGCATTCCTCCAGGAGGCAAGTGGGAGCACGCAGCGCATCTTAATCCTTTTTATCCCTTTCCCCTCCTGTCTCTGGATTGCCTCCCTGGATCTCTCTCTGCACGGTAACAGTTTCCCTCAAAGCCCAGCTACAGCTGCCTTTCTGGGACAAAACACCCAACACCCAGGAATGGTTTACTTAGTTCACTGTTTGTGGAGGTTCCAGTACATACTCAGCTGGCTCCGAGGCAGCCTGTCGTGGCACCTGGGCAACACTTCAAGGCAGCAGCCAGCAAAAGCAGCAGGAGCAAAAAGGGGCAAAAAAGCCTCTTCTCCTCCCTCATATCGTAAGAAGGCTTCTCCCCACCCCACCCCAGGGTGGGTGTAGCATTCAGTCTCTGCCCTCCCCTTGCACAGGATGTGGATGTTTACGAAGCCTCCCCACCCCCTGCGGAGTCCCTTAGCCTGCTCCAGCTGACACAGTGTATCCACCATTACACTGGCTCCTGGGAAAGCAATCCACTGCCCAGTGTCCGGGAGGTGTAAACTCGTAAACCTAAGTCCTCACCTGCTGCTCCAGCCACCTCCCCCTGTTCCCCCATCTCCCCGGTGACAGTGCCACCCATCCAGGTCCCAGAACAAAGACTCAGAGCCCCCTGACCCTCTCCAGCACAGCTGCAGAGTCCCAGAGGTGTCCCATCCAGGCTGCCCCGAACCTCTCCCCGGCACTGAGCCACAGCCAGTCTGCATTCCCTTGCTCTCCCTGACTGGTGGCTGTGAGGCCCAGGTGGCCCCGGGGCCTGTCCTCTGGGGCTGTCAGTCTTCTGCTCAGAGCTCTAGCTCGGCCCTGGCCGTCAATGCCATCCACTGTCGCAGCTCCTGACCTGCTGGCCGGCACTGGTCACTCACTTTTCAGTCACAGTGAGGTGGGACCAGCAGCTCTCTGAAGTCCCCTTGCGAGCAATGAGGTCAGGCATCCGGGCCCTTTGATGAGCCCGCTTCTCCCATGCCAGCCAGGTTCTGTGGGCCAGGGTAACACTCATCCTTGATGGTGGAACCCAGCCTTGGCTTCCACAGCAGCCGAGCTGAAGGCCTCAGTGCCCATCGTGTGACAATCTTAAGGTTGTTGTGCTTGGGACCTTGGGTACCGCAGTCCCTTAGCAAGAGCTCCCAGGTTTGCATCCCATGGGACGGCGGGGAGTAGGGAGGGAGAGGTGTGTGTAGTCAGGGCCAGGGATCCTGGGGGACCTCCTTGGGATCCCACCTACCACAGAGCTCTCCTACCATGGATCCCCCTGGGATCCCCGCAGGCCTGGGGCCACATCGAAGGTACCACCGTACTGTCAGGGACTTCCGAGTCCAGGCGAGGCCATCAGGCAGGGGGTGGGGCAGCCCTGCGAGAGGGGTCACACTCAGTCTCCAGACTGAGGGGAACTCCAGACTTCCTGGGGGAACTCCCAGGACACGCAGGAGGGAGCAAAAGCTGACACGACTCCAGTTTGGCTGGCACCCACAGGGACCAGACCGGGCAGAGAGAGCTGTCACTGGGAATCCCAGTAATACCGGAGGCTCTGGGGTAAATTTTGCTTTAGGCCTCTATGCTTTAGGGTGGTGTCAATCAGCTTCCAACAATTGTGAGAAACATCTAAGCAGGAAGGAATTTTGCCAGGCTTGGTGGAACGCACCTGTAATCCCAGCACTCAGGAGACTGAAGCAGGCAGATCCCAAGTCAGAGGCCAACCTGTCCAGACACCTGTCTCTGAAAGTAAGAGGGCTTTTGACCTTCAAACCCCCTGAGAATGCCCCAAGAATTCTGTGGGACATTCACCTGGTTCACCCCATCATGAGAGCTCCCGGAGCGTAAGCCTCGCCATGTGGGCCTGGTTTTCCTCCCTAGTGGTCGAGGGACCCGAGATAGACTTGCCCTGCAGGACTTCGCTGCTCCTCACCCAAGGAAGGAGTCTCATTCCCTGCTCTGGAGGCTGTGCTGGGCTGTGACTAGCCTGGGCCAGTACCATGCGGCCCGGGTGACTGACTGCTCTGTCCCAGGCCCCAAGGGACAGTGCCTGGGACACGGCTCGGGCTGCTGCCTGGAGCCTGAGCATCGCAAGGCCATCATCTCCAGACCCCAACTAGCATCCAGCCAACCCCAGAGACAGAACAGCTGCCTGCCATGAAGCTGACCGGACACTGAGGGGAACCACGGCTGTCCTGCTTGAGGCCCAGCTGAAAACCAAAAGCCAATTTAATGGTTATCAAGCCAGGATTGGTGGTGCATGCCTGTCATCCCAGCACTCAGGAGGCTGAGGCAGGAGGTCCACTGTGAGTTCGAGACCAGTCTGTGCTACAAAGTGAGCTCAAGGCTGGCCAACACCTGCTGGAGGAATTAGCTGGCTGGCCTTGCCCTTCCAGGCTTGCATAGCACACTGACCACCCAACGGGGCTGCAATTTGTGCGTCTCAGTGCAAGCAACTTGAACCACTGATGGCATATGCGTGACAGCAGTTTTGGGTGGTGGGGGACAGTCCCATCAGGTGGGATGGTCACCCAGGCATCACCAGTGGTCCAAACCAGCAGGAAGGACAAACAGTCAAAGTCTGAGTTTGATTTGCAATCGGAAAGGTTTATTTGGAAGTCAGGCTCAGGATGGGAGCAGGGTCACCCATAGGCCCACGGAGGAAAGGATCACTCCCCCACCCTGAGGTCAGCAAAGCCCAGCAGGGGAGGGGGTCAGTGGCTGGCCAGCGGCAGGATGCCCAATCAATCCAGCCCCACACAGGCACCAGCACTGGCAGCCATTCGGTCCCAATGACAGGAAGCAGGAAGCGAGCGCCACCTGGAGTCCACCCATCGCGGGGGTGGTCACCTGGCCCTTCCTCTAGGGCCTCTAGTGTCGGATCTGGTAGCCTGGGGAGAGAGGGAAAGGAGATACAGAAAGAGGGGCGCCAAGCAGGGACCTCCCCGAAAGGTGGAGACGCAGGGTAAGGAGCTTGGGGACTCTAGGCAGGGAGGGACCATGAGGTCACCGACATCTGGCTCCCTCCATTCTGTCCTTCGGGCAGCCCCTCCACATCCTGCTGCTTGGTTAGTAGATTTCCTGGCCACTAAAACAGAGATGGCCCCAGCCTCACTCCTAGATTCACAGCCATGGCTCTGCAGTGCCACCCACACCAAAGCACACCAGACACAGTGTAGAGGGACAGTCCCCAGGTGCCATGAGGCTTCTCACAGCTGAACGCCCTCAGGCATGTTCCCCAGCCTCTCACGGTAATTTCATATCAAACTTTGACTTTACACAATCCAGTGTAGGCGAGGGGAAATTTCCCCTGACCTGGAGCCTGCCCCACTGCGCGCCTCTGTCCTGTTTTTAGATCGTCACAGGCAATAGAAGTGTCCTGCTCCCCTGGTGTCACACAGTGCTGTCCCAGCCAGCCACAGATCAAACTTGTGGACTATTTATCTCTGAACAGTTCCAGCACAGGTCTCCTGTCCCCAGGACAGAAAGTCCCGGCCTGGCAGCCTGCAGAGTGGAGTCCCTGGAGTAAATTCCTCATTTTCTCTCCTGACCACATGGGCTACAGTGGGAGAGACACTGTGCCACTCTCAACCCATCTCCTAGATCTGTGTGTAGAGCGAACCTAACCTCATGCAAGGCTGCCAGAAGCAGCCATCAGTTCAGAGCCAAGGCTGGGTCCACAGCACTTCACCCGGGACCTCCCTGAAATCCAGCATTTTCCAAATGCCCATTCTCCAGAGAGGTGCAAAGATAGCTAACAGGGTGGCCAAGCATGCACAGGGCCATGACTCAATCCCAGTACTGCAAATAAATAATAAAGAAGTGGGGTGGTCTTGACCCCACTTCTTAACACTTTCTTAACACAAAACCTAGAGTCCTGCCCCCTACAAGCCCAGAGCTCTCCCTTACCTTGTGTATCACCACAGTCCCCGAGTTTTGAGGAGGACTGGGACTGGGATGGTCTTCTGCTTCTTCCTCCATAGTTGCCTCCACTTCCTCCTCCAGAACTGCTTCCTCCAACATGGCTGCCTCCATGGCTGACTCCACTTCCTCCTCCAGAACTGCTTCCTCCAACATGGCTCCCTCCACTTCCTCCTCCAGAACTACTTTTTCCAACATGGCTGCCTCCACTTCCTTCTCCACAACTACTTCCTCCAACATGGCTGCCTTCATGGCTGCCTCCACTTCCTCCTCCATAGCTGCCACCATGGCTGCCTCCACTTTCACCACTATGGCTGCCTCCACTTCCTCCTCCATAGCTGCCTCCACTTCCTCCTCTAGATCCACTTCCTCCTTGTCTTCCTTTGCCACTTCCAAAGCCGATTTGTCCAGCTCCAGAAGATTCGCTGGAAAAGGAAGAAGACAGAGATAAAATGAGCAGTCCCCACACACAGACAGAAGGATGGCCCTGAATGAAGTCCTGACTTAGCTGGGAACCTCCTTAAGTTCTCCTTCCCAGCAGGACAGAGGCTGGCGTGGCACCATAACCCGGAGGGAGGAGCCTCCAGCTGAGGCTAGGGTACGTCCCCTCCAGGAGCTGGAGCAGCCCCTCCTGTCCTTGTCCCCATCTTCCTTTTCCAAAGCCCAAAACCCCCATGGTGCCTCCACAAGATAAAGACATGCCCACTGGCCATCAGACCCTTGCCCTCAAGAGCCTCCCTATCCAGAAGGACAGGCCGGGGATTCCTGGGGGGTTCCGAAGAGTCCCGGGGACCTACAAGTCCTCCTGGCCACACTCGAGGAGGTGGTGGTAGGTCTGGATCTCCTGCTCCAGCCGTGTCTTGACACTCAGAAGGTTGCTGTATTCCAGACTCTGGCACTCGGTCTCCCCTCGGACCTCAGCGAGCTGCTCCTCCATGTTGCTGATCAGCTGCTGCAGCTGCTGCAGCTGCACACAGTAGCGGTTCTTTGTGTCCTCCAGGGACTTCTCCAGGGCTGCTTTCTAGGGAGTAAGAGGAGGCTCCTGAGCCTGTCCCTTCCCACTCTGGGAGTCCGAAGAGCCTGCCCCGGGAGGACCGAGGAGCACACGACCCACCATGCTGTGCTCAGTCTGCAGCTCAACCTCCAGCTCCTGCATGCAGCGCCTGTGCTGGATCACCTCCCTGGTGTTCTTCTCCATCTCCTGACCACTGTGTGTCACCTCCTGCTCAATTTGAGTCATCTGCAAACCCAACGGCTCAGTGAGGACCAGGCAGGGCTAGGAGCTTAAAGGGCCAGGGAGCAAGACCTGCCTCACCCACCAGGCAGAGCCCAAACCGAAGACCTGCCGAGCTCCAGGCCCCTCTGGCAGGGCAGGCTGTCCAGTCCTCTCAGCAGAGCCCCAGCCCCTTCACGCCATGTCCCCAAGATGCCACTTTAACCTTTCTCCCTACCATCATCTTACACACACAGACACACGTGTGCACACAGCCCAGACCATGCCCTCCTGTCCAAGGCTCCAGGCTCCACTCGGAGGACCCACAGAGGAGGAGAGAAACCACGCAGCTGAGGACAGAATGGGAGACACACTGTGCCCCCTGCCAGGGCCTTACACCGCATAGCATGGCTGGAGCCTATCCACACTGGTAAACCGTGAGGCCCCTAAAGACCTCAGCCTTCTGTGATTGTGTCGGAAAGGTCAGCACCTCCCTAAAAGCTGCACTGAGAAGCTCCTCTAACATGGAAGGTAGACAGGAAGGAAGGAAGAAGAGGGGAGGGGAAAAAGGGAGGAAGAGGAAGGAAGGGAAGGAAAGAAAATGGACAGATGTAGTCTTTCATAGGGCAGTTGCGTCAGCCACACTGAGGGGTGCAGAGTAGGGGAAGGGAAGGAGATGCAGCCTGGGGCACAGGGCGGCCTGGACGTCCGCCCACTCACCATCTCCTTCCTGCTCCTGGAGATGAGCTGCTCGTACTCCTGACGCATGTCACTGAGGATCTGGGTGAGGTCTCTGCTGGGGGCCACCTTGATCTCCACGTTGACGTCCCCACCACTCTGCCTGGTCTGCTGGCTCATCTCCTGCCAGGGAGGAGGGTTCGGGTGGGGGTCCCTTCTCCCACACTGCAGCTGTCTCACACGGGTCCCCCAGGTGACAACACGGGACCAGGGCGTGAAATCAAAGCCTGGCTACCACCACAGACAGCACTGCAGAGGGGCTGGGCGCGTGCTCCTCCGGGGAAAGAGGGGTCCACCTCTGTCCTCCGCCCCTCCCTGGACCCAACAGCCCCGCAGCAGGCCGCACCTCCTGATGGTTCTTCTTCAGGGTCGCCAGCTCGTCCTGCAGAGACTTGAGCTGAATCTCCAGGTCGCATTTCTCCATGGTCAGGCTCTCCAGCACCTGCTGCAGCCCGTTGGTGTCAGCGTCCACCGACTGCCTCAAGGACCGCTCCATCTCATACCTACGGGCCGGCCAGTACCCGGGAAGTGATCAGGAGAGACCTCCTGGGTGCTGGGCACAGGGGAAGGCGGGGAGGATGGGGGCTCAGACTCACTTAACCCTGAAGTCCTTCAGGGTCATTCTAGTGTTGTCGGTCTCCAGGAGAGTTTTGCCGTTGTCTGTGATCAGGTGCAGAATCTGAGTAAGAAAAAATGGCATGGAACTGGTCCCCCTGACCCCCCACCCACTGTGGAGAGGAACAAAGGCCAGGTGACGGCAAAGGCAGGAAGATTCCCACCCAGGACAATGTCCAGGGGCAAGAGGAGGTGCCAACAGGAGTACGTGACCCAGGCCCTCCCAGGCTTCAGCAAGCCAGCACTACTGTGAGTAGGTAGGAGAATGGGAGGATGGATGAGCCCATGGTGATGGACACATGGAGTCCATCCCTAGAGATCAAGCTCTTCTTCGTTACGTGAGTGGCCAGCATGGGTATCTGGGTGTAAAGAACCTGAAAAGGCAGAGACGCTCCCCCTGGATCGAGGCTCCCAGGAGCCCAGGGAGAGACAGGGTTGACCTGAGGCCAGGCCCAAAGGAGGCTCCACGCCCAGCCCCAGCCTGGCCCGTGTGCACCTGGGCCCCCTCCCTGCTCTTCCAGACGCGGAAAGCTGTGTGTGTCGGGGTGAAAGCCCGGAGCACAGCCTGGGGTCCCCGTCCCAGGGCTGCAGGAGCCAAACCCCAGGGCATTCCTGATGAGAGTTCAGGGTTTCCAAAAGACAGATTCCCTTGGCCATTCTGGTCTAGACTTCCAGTCTAGCTTCACCCACGACGCAGATGAGACACAGAGAGCGCAAGGCTCACCTGTCTCTTGAGGTCCTCTGTGGTGTTGTAGTAGGTAGAGTAGTCCCTCTGGGGAAGCTTAGGGCCCCGCTGGGCGTACCACTCCTGGATCTTCCTCTCCAGCTCACAGTTTTCCTGCTCCTGCTGCCGCACCTTATCCAAGTAGGAGGCCAGGCGGTGATTGAAGTTCTGCATGGCGGTCTTCTCATCAGTAGCCAGGATGCCCTCACCGCCCCCACCGAAGCCTCCTCTCAGGCCCCCAGACCCGCCAAAACCTCCTCTGGCACCACCACCAAAACCACTGCCACCTCCCCCAAAGCCCCCACCCAGGCTCCCGGCGCTGAAGCCCCTGCTGTAAAGGGAGCCACCCCCTCCCCGGCCACAGGCCCCTGAGCTGCCCCCACCAAAGCCAAAGCCACCAAAGCCACTAGCCGAGCTAAAGGGGCCCCCAGCCCTGGCCTCGGAGGAGCTGGAGCAGCTGAAGGAAGTGCGCAGGCTGCCCCCGATGCCCCTGGAGCCGCTGTGGCCCCAGGGAGACAAGGAGCACTGTCTGTAAGTCATGATGCTGCTGGCTTGGAGGACAGGAAGGTGTCACAGAGGTGCTGCTGGTGCCACTCAGTCCCCGGGCCTTACTCTTATACCCCAGCCGTCGGCTGGCACGCCCGGGTGTGCCCCCCTCCACCGTGCCGGCCTCCCCCTCCCCACGCCCTCCGGAGCCTGGGATGCAGAACACCAGCTGCCCCAGGCTCTGCGTCCCTTAGTGGCTGCTGGGAGCAGCTCAGCCCCTCCCCATTGTGTGGCGGTAATTGGAGGACATTAGGCTGTCAAGGGCACCATAAATCACCCAGGGTGACCTACATCCTGGAGATCCCGGCCCGAGCTGGGGCCCCAGAGCCCACATCAGAGCCCGTGTCAGAGGCTGAGGCCTGTGGACAGAGGCTCCCCCTGGGACACAGCCCTCTCCCCATGGGTGACCACCTGCCTCAGTCTGCAGCTGCCCCCACACCCACCCTGTGCCCCCCACGTGGGCGGAGCTGGGCACAAGGACAAGAACATGGCCTGGAGGCTGGGGTGGGCACAGCCTCTGCCCACAGACACTGCCAGAATGAGCAGGACCCGACTATGACACGAGGAACCCTGTAAGGGGAGCCTCATCCTGGCTCCCCAATCCTCAGGCTGAGTGGGGGCCAGAGACCGTACACCCCCAGGAGATGCCGGGGTTCTGGGGACATGGTCATCCCCAGTGACCGAGAGACCAGCAGCAGCCCCCAGTGCACAGCACGGGGTCCACACAGGGGACCTGAGGACACAATGGCCATGTAAGTGACCTGTGGCCAGCACCTGCTGACCTGAGAGGGGGCGACCCTGACCTGGCTGTCCTCACCTCTCCAGTGCCAGAGCAGGTAGGACAGGTCACAGCTGAGCATTGGCCCTGGACTGAGCCCAGCTTCTGGCGGACACCCAAACCTCGCATCTCCCCGGCAGGGACACAGGAGAAACGCTCGGGAGATGTCGGGGTCGCTCCCGGCCGGCAGGAAAGACACACGACAAAGTCTGGCGGTGTGCAACCTTGCCTTTATTTATCTCCGCGTGGGCCCCGCGAGGCCTCCACTCTGCCACCAGCCCTTTCTCGCCGGTGGACTTTTTCTATCTCTCTCTGTGCTTCCTCTGTGCTTCTCTGTCTCGTGGCGGGAGAGGCATTCACTTTTATAGGGTGACAGTGGCCAATCAGTTCAAAGCGCGCGATGCGGGCTAATTGGCTAACATCAGTTGTTGCTAGGCAGACTATCTTACAGAGCGGGTTGTTTAAGTCGCCAGCGCAATCAGGGGGCAGGAAGCAGGCGCCAACTTGACTCACTCGATGGGAGGGGCAATCTAGCTCAGGCCCCGCTCCCACCCACAGGCCCTACGTCCGCCAAGTAAGGCGACCGGTGTCGGCGGCTCCCAACATCTCCCCCTATTTTATTTACTTTGAATGAATGTATGCATCGCAGCCCGCCCTGGATCGAGTGCAGAGGCTTATGCCCTGTGTTGAGGCCCACCGTAGGCCCTTGGCTTGGACCCTGGTCGGCCGCCCCCGGGTCTGCCAAGGCCTTGAGACCCTCGTCCTTTTTCCAGGGCCAGGAGTGAACTGGACGGAACCTGGATGCACATAGGCATGCACTCATGCCCCTCCGTGTGATCCCCTCGGAGAGGCATCTAGATCTGGGCAGATTCTAGTAATCCAGCGGCTTTCGTGCGCCATGGGGTAGGGCCTGGCTTAGGTCGAGTCATGCTGGGGAGGCACGCTCTTACCCGTCATTGACTCACCTACCCTGCTGTGTGGTGTCATTAGGGAAGGAATGCGGAAGACCCGCCACACCTAGACCCGGTCGTAGGCCAGTCGAGCGAGCCATGCGTAAGCCTGGGGGTCATTGTGCCCATCACGGGCTGCTGCCAGGGCCGCATGGGCAACCAGGCGTACTTGACGCCAGGCCGCCGCAAGGCGCCCATTAATAAATGATGTAACCCATCGGAGCAAGAATGGTCCTATAAGCAGGAGCAAGAACAAGGAGCATAGAGGGCCTAACAAGGGTAGCACATAGGGGAGCAAGCCGTTCCAGGCCCCCAAAAAGGGATTGTCCTGTAGTTCTTTTAGGGCTCATCTTGTTGTTGGGTCTGCAGTTGGCCTCTGGTGGAACAGGCCTGATCTTCAGTCGAGGGACTTGTCGCGTCAACCTCTCTGGGACCCACAGTGGTTTTCGTCCCGATTCCTGCAGAAAAACACAAACCGCGCCTCGGTTCCAGCTAACCACCGGATCCGGGCCCATCCATTGTCATGCCATAGATAACCGCGCCTTTGGAGGCAGGCCTTGGCTTACTCCCCCTTTTTGTTTTTTATTTTTTATTTTTTATTTTTTTTTATTTTTGGTCTTTTTCGTTTTTTTTTTTTTTTTTTTTTTTTTTTTTATCGGTGCCAGGGATCGAACTCGCGATTGCCTGCTTACAAGGCAGGCGCTTATGCCGCTGAGCTAAATCCCCAGCCCCCGTTTCCTCGACCGGCGTTTTTCTCAGCCTGCTCGGCAGAGTAGCCACCCATGAAAATACCGTCCGCCCCACGGCGCAACGTCATAGGACGGCGGTCGCGACAGAGTGGAACGGGGCGTCACTTCCTGTGCCGGCTGAGAGAAGGGAGGGTTCCCTGTAGCGGCCTCTCGGCGGGGAGCCGCTTCTGGAGAAGAGCTCCAGGGTGGAGTGGATGGCTCTCTATCTCCTCCCCGCCAGAGAGCGCTTGGGGGTCCTTTTTCCTCTCTCTGCTTTTTTCGAGCGGCGCACGCACACAATTCGCGGCGCAACTCGGCATAGGAGTCAAGGCACGCATGTATCATTTCCCACAGGGGGCGAATAGCTGGTGAAATATCGCCTCCCAATTCCGCCGAGGCGAGGTCCCCGCCTAACTTCTCCCATGACGGCAGGTTTAAATGCCCCGTGGGTAAAAACCAGGGAGCCACCCTATCTACCTCTGTTATGAATAGTTCCAGTGTTTTTTGACCTACCCTGAGGTCTCTAGCTTTTAAAAGCTTTTTAAGGGCCTTTACCAAGGGCCGCACCTCTGCGCTCGGTAAATTACCCATTTTTAACCTCTAAGGGCTGTTACTCACCGCGTGTGACTTAAAGAACCCGTCACCTACGCGTGAGCCTGAGGGGAGTCTAAAAGCCCTGTAGGTGCGCGCCACCCAGAGCCCAGGCTTATCCCCAACTCACCTGTCCGGCAGCACCACGCTGGAGCGTTGCACACCACCGCCGTGTCTCGGGGTTGATCAGTCCCCGTGCGGGTCACCAAATGTCGATGTCGCTCCCGGCCTGCAGGAAGAACACGCGACAGATTCTGATAGTGTGCAACCTTGCCTTTATTTATCTCCGCGTGGGCCCCGCGAGGCCTCCACTCTGCCACCAGCCCTTTCTCGCCGGTGGACTTTTTCTATCTCTCTCTGTGCTTCCTCTGTGCTTCTCTGTCTCGTGGCGGGAGAGGCATTCACTTTTATAGGGTGACAGTGGCCAATCAGTTCAAAGCGCGCGATGCGGGCTAATTGGCTAACATCAGTTGTTGCTAGGCAGACTATCTTACAGAGCGGGTTGTTTAAGTCGCCAGCGCAATCAGGGGGCAGGAAGCAGGCGCCAACTTGACTCACTCGATGGGAGGGGCAATCTAGCTCAGGCCCCGCTCCCACCCACAGGCCCTACGTCCGCCAAGTAAGGCGACCGGTGTCGGCGGCTCCCAACAGGGAGACATTAAACTGCTTGGTCAGGGTGGTGCATGCCTAAAATCCCAGCTACTCGGGAGGCTGAGTCAGGAGGATCAAAAGCGGCACACCACCCTGGGCAGCTCAGTGACACCCTGTCTCACAGGACAAAATCTAAGAGGCAGTTCAGAGGCGAGCAGCTGGCCAGTGTGGAAGGGGCCTGAGTCCTATCCCCAGCGCTGCACAGAGGAAGGAAAGAGAGAGAGGGAAGAGGGGAGAGAGAGAGGGAGGGGAGGGGGAGGTGACACCACTTCAGCCGACCTCCTAGCCTTCCAGCTCTGCCCTGCCCTGGTCTGCAGTGAGCAGCTTCCGACTGCTCTTCCCGCCCCCATCCACTGACCCTGCCGGGCAGCCCCCCACCTCCCTAAGCCTCTTCTGACCACATCACCCTCAAACTTTGCTTTGCCCCAGGACAAAGCCCATACGGCTGGTGCTCAGGGCTCCTCTCACATCTTCCTTCTTCTCAATTGGATTTTGTGGGTGCGCTTCAGAGGCACGTGGCAGTCACACACATCATGGGGAACTCAGGTTTCCCATCCCCTGCCCCCTTCACCTCCTCCTCTCTCTCCACTCACAAGAGCTTCGTTCCCATAGTTTTCTCCTTTCCTCTCTTCTGTTTTTGCTTTCCCCATCCTCTCTTCCCCCTTGCCTCCCCATTTTCTTCCCATTTCACAATACCTACTGTACATTTTGGTCCTTATTTACACTCTCGGTGTCTCACACCAGAGACACAATGCAGCACTTACACACGTGTGTGTCTGGTTTATTTCACTGAAGAGCACGGACTGGTGGTGCATCCATGTGCCTAGAAATGTCTGGTGTCTGTCCTTCTTTATGGCAGAGTAGTATTCCACAGCACAAACAGACCACACCTTCCTTGTACCATCACCAGTCCTGGGCTGTCCCCCTGGGCAGAGCACCTGGGCTGTCCCCAAGGGCTGGCTGTTACAAACTGTGCCACTGTCAGCACAGGTAAAGGCACAGCAGCCACCAGGTCTCCAGTTAGGAGTTAAATCCTAACCAGTCCCAGCTTCGTTTATTTCCATTGTGGGCAAATGAGTCCCTTTTTGTCTGTTTCTTTGTGTTTTTTGTACCAGGATTGAAACTTAGAACCTTACGCTTGCCAGGCTCCACCCCCAGCCCTGATTCTTCTTTTTCTGTTTTGAGACTGAATCTCACTGTGTAGTCCAGGCTGGCCTCAAATGCATGGGGATCCTCCTACCTCAGCTTCCCAAGTGCTGAGATGACAGGCATGCACCACCACACCCAGCTGGACAAAAGATTCCAATTGTCCTTTTCTTTCCTTTCCTTCTCTTCTCTTCTCTTTTCTTCTCTTTTCGGTAGCAGGATAGGACTTCTTTTATCAATGTATTCATTGAAGTAAAAGGTGACCTAGTTTTTCCAAAACACGTCAGATGTTTCAATGGGAGGTGTCAGATGGTGATAACCCATGAAACTGAAAGTAGGCAGAGTGGGTATCGGGGAGCACATCAACCCCCTCTGTGGGTCCTTGAGGTGCTGAAACTTCACCCAGGGCCTTGCAGACCCTGAGCTACAGGGGCGCAGGTCGTGGTCCCTTCTAATTGCTTCCTCCATCATCTGAGGTCGAAGCTCCAGCTGGGATGAGACCAGGGGGCCCCAGCTGGCCTGGGAGAGGGTGGCAGAGGTGGGGGCGCTGAGCACACCACACTGCATCCTGAGTGGGGGACCCCACCATGCTGAGATCCCCGGGGTTGACTCCAGCTCAAAGCAGGGCAGCCCTGCCCAGCCAGGTACAGCTGGAGACGCCCTAAATCCCCAAGCCCTGCGCTCATTGATCACCCGCCTCCTCCCTGGGCACCCCCCACATTGCCAGGAGCCTCCCTGCCCAGAGCAGCCCCTGGGTGCCCAGAGGACCCTGCACACCTGGCCCTTGCCACCCCTCTGTAGGCCACCCCGCTGTACCCTCCCATGCCTCTGCTCTGGCTGTCTGGTCCTCCTTGGGGCTTGTCCTCGGAGGGGGCTGGATGCCTCCTGACCCCCTCACACACTACCAACCCCTTGGCCTCAGACTCAGTTTCCCCATGGAAGACTTTAGGGGATGAACCCGGGCATAGTGGCACAGGTCAGTCATCCCAGCATTCAGGAGGCTGAGGCAGGATGATTGTGAGTTGGAGACCAGCCTGGGCTACAAGGCCAGCCTAAACTGCATAGTGAGACAAAAAGTCAAAAAAATAAAAATAAAAACTTTATGTGCTGAGTCGCCAGGGCCACAAATGGCTCAGGAGGGCAGAGGGGCCTCTGGAGGAGGGTCCAGCTGGGGCCCCGTGAGTGTCCACCCCACAGCGGGCCATCTGGACAGCTGTGCGGCCCACACCTGAGGTGTGCTGTGCCTGCTGGGGATGCTGCCTTTCCATCCTCCAAGCTCCTGCTTGCGGCAGGAGGTGGAAGGGGCAAGGGAGTCAGGGAACCAGAGGCCCTGGCCCTGGGCTGGGGAGTGACTTCCCCTCCGCTGTGCAACGGGACTCCGGCTGCTACCTTCTCAGAGCTCAGGGCCTGACAAGTGGGGTGCATGTCACCCCAGCAGTGGGCACCAGGGGCTGAGAAGGGGCCACAAGAGGCAGACAGGACCCGAGAGGGTGCCAGACGCTGAATCCCTCTGCACAGTGCCCACAAAGGGGAAGAGGTCAGTGCTCGTGAAGGGCACGGGGACTTTGGGAGGTGACAAGAATGCCCCTCCTTGCCTGGCCTGGCTGCCCTCCCCGAACTGCTGTCTGCCACTGAGGCCAGGTGGGGCTCAGGGATGGGCCTGAGTCACCGTGCAGGCACTGGAGAGGCAGCAGGCTGAGTCACGCTCCTCTCTCTGCAGCCACCCTGGCGGTACATGCTGCCCGCTGGCACGGAGCTGGAGGTGCCCATGTCTGTCTGTCTGTCAGTGCTGATTCTTCCTCACACTGCTGTCAATGCTCACCACTCTACCCAGCCAGACCTCACCAGGCCCAAGGGACTAAGTTCCAAAACAAGATGCTCCCATGTGGGTCAGAGAAGCGGCTTTCTCACCATGCATCTAGTTCCATCCCTAACCAGCATCTGCTATGAGCCAGGAGTGGCCCCCAGACCTGGGGAGGGGATGAGTGAGCCCTGATGGTCTGTGGGGTGAAGCAGATCTCCAGACAGGTGCAGCTGATAATGGGGGAGGGGGTCAGCTGCAGTGGGGGGCAGGGAAAAGTCATAAGAAACACACCCTGACTTGGGCGGGCATAGTCTCTTCAAGAGACTCTTGTAAGGAGGAGGAGGAGGAAGGAGCCAGAAGCAGAAGCAGGAGCAGGAGCAGGAGCAGAAGAGCGTCCCTGGGCAGGGACAAAGCCATGTGCCAATGCTCCTTGCCGGAGGCTGCAGCCCCCCTGCATGGGCAGAAGCCCAGCACAGCTGAAGTGCCGCGGGGTAGCTCAACCGTGCAAAGGAGCCTGGAAGAGGGGAACAGGGCTGCTCCCCTGAGGCTGTCTGAGGTCTCATGGCTTTTTTGCCCAGCACACAGCGGGACACTTCCCTGGCTGCTGGTGGCGCTAATTCTGCCCCCTGACTTTCCCTGGACCCTCAGGGTGACCCAGGTCCTCAGGTTCCTTGTTTATTGTTAGTCTGTTGGACCTGGGACAGGTGGGAGCTGCGGGGGACACAGTGGGTGGGGGTCACAACTGTCTCCCTCCAAGAACCTTCAGGCTGGGTGAGCAGGAACAGGTCAGACCCCTAAAAGGGGTGCTCCTCCATGACCCGCTGCACCCCACGTTCTGCACTAGGAAGGTGGTGGCCCTGGGAGGCTGAGCACCGGGACTCCAAGAGGCAGCCCCTCTTGAGTCCACTAGGCGGCACCACCCAGTCTCCCTTCCCAGTCCTTGTTTTTGTGCAGAGGTGGAGACCCAAGTCTTGAGTGGGGTGGGGTGACCTCAGGCCCTGGGGACCAGAGCACTGGTTGTCAGCAGCGCTTAGGTGTCAGCTCTGCCCCTCCTGCCAGGGTGAGGTGGTGGGGACTCCAGAGAGCGGGAGTCCATGCCCTCCTCCATGCCCCTGCAGGACCTCCTCTGGCCAGCGTGAACCTGCTTCTGGACTGCAGACCCTGATGAGTCTTCACTGTATTACCCAGGACTGCAACAGAGAGGAGGAGCATGGCCCCGCTGCCCACTCAAGGGGACCCTGCCTCAGGTCCAGAGCTCCTGGGTGGGGGGTAGCACATGGCTCCCTGTCCAGGACACAATGGTGATAGGGTTCATGGGCAACTCGGGGCATCCCTGGTGACCTCGCTAGGTTTCTCTCTCTGTCTGGGACCCTGTGGCCTCTTCAAAGGCGAACCGCACCCCAGATTCCAGGCCACCTCTTGCTGGAGCAGGAGGCTCACAGCCCAGCAGGGACCTCTGATCCCCAGGGACATCCTGAAGCCCCTCTTCCCTGGGTCCTGTCCCACTTGGGACCATCGCTTCCCAGTTCCCAAGGAAGCAGCCTCAGATCTGGGACCCCCCAAATTGCCCCCTTAGCTGCCTCCCCACTAGGGGAGCACCCAGCTCCTCCCGCCCTGCCCCCCACCATGCTCCTGGAGAAGACATCCCTGAGCTTCAGAGGGCATGGGTGGGGACAGGAGAAGCCAGCATCTCTCTGTCCCTTTTGCTGGGGACACCTTCTCATGGGACCATGTACAGAGCCCTGTGTGCCGAGCTTGGTGTGAACACATTGCCTCTGTGAGATCATGCACCCTCTCCTGGTTTTGTAGTGAAGTTGTCTGTCCCCCACTTGGTGAGAGGGAATGTGGGTTCAATATCTCCTCCAGACTCTTCCAGCCCAAGACCCCCAACTCGATACCAGATGGTCTGACTCCAAAGCCCCATGTTTGGCCCCTCGCTGGGGCCCTGATTTCAATCCCTACCTCCCTGCAGCCAAAAGAACAAAGACTGGACAAACACACGGCCAGTCCACTGGTCGCTAGCGTGGGCAGCGAGCTCCCTCAAGCCCTAGAGTCTCCACCTCTCAGCCCTCTGGACTCCTCCCCTCCCCACTCCTTTTCCAGCCCCACCCCCAGAACCCCCACACCCTCCTCCACCAAAGGGAGGCTCCAGGTCTTGGCTCTTAAGGTTCCTTTGCTCACCAGATCCTTCTGCAGCCCCAAGGAGTGGGACTCTTCCTCTGTCTAGTACAAGTGGGGGACCAAGGCTCAGGCCTGCCAGGGCACCACTGATGCCTCAGAACCCGGGCTGGAACAGGCCCTCCTCAGGATGCCTGGCGTCCCTGACAGCCTCCTCTGGGAAGCTCCCTCCAGCCATCCCTGCTACTTCCTGGACCGCACAAAAGGATGAACAATCAGACCTGGAGGTGGCACTCAGCTCACCCCAGGGCGACCGAGCGTAGGCGGGGTGAGGCTGCGATGTGGGGAGCAGGGGCCAGTCAAGGAGATGAGACAGCCAAAGAGTGTGGGTTCCAATCCCAATCTTGAGTTTGGGGCTTGCCCCTTGGGGATGCAGGGGACCCTGAACCCCGTGATCCCCAATGTGTGTGCTTCTTTGGAGATGGGGCAAAAGGAGACCATCCACGGCTTCTGGTCTATTGGGACCCCAGGTCACGACAATGTTAAGAATCCTTCACCCGGCACCCCAGCCAGGGTGCTCAGTGCCTGAAGAGTGAAATCACCTGAACGAGTGACCTTCCCGGTGGGCTTGGGTAGAGTCCACCCGTGACCCAGTGTGCATCTGTCTGTCTTATCTGTGTCTCCTGACATGGCAAAACCATCCTGGGACTGAAGCCCAGCCCGCCCCCAAACCCTCTCACCCAGTCCCGGAGGCCACAGCCAGGTGCCCTCCTTCCCACCCTCGCCCCCACAATGACTGGCACACAGCAGCTTGTGCAACTCAGACACAGAAGCTTTATTGATTTGCAGGAGGGGGCAGGAGCAGGGGCAGGGCGGGGCCTGCGGGGCTTGGGAGGCGGGACGGGGCATCTGGCAGCGATGCGGGGGGGCCTCCGGGGCCTGAGCAGTGCCATGGGCCCTAGTTCTTGGTACGCAGGATCTGCTCGTGGGAAGACACCACCTTCCCATCGTGCACGTCCACCACCTTGGTGCGGACTTGGCGGCTGGAGGAGGTCACTGGGGAAAAAGAAAAAAGGGCGTCACCTGAGGCTTCAGGCAGCGGGATGAGGAGGAGTAGAGAGGTCAACACCTGGAGGCCCCATGAGCTGGCCTGGCTGCCCTCTGCCCCAATGGCTGCTTCCCCCAGGGCTGTTACCCAAGCACAGAGGCCGTCACATTGCAGACGACAGCTCTCCGAGGTCAGGGAAGGGTCTGTGTCTTCAGACCCTAAGAACTCAAACTGCCCCGGTTCCACTCAAATGACTTCCGTGGGCGGCTGGGTTCCAGCCTGAGAGCAGCCTGAGCGCTGTCCGTGGTGCTGACTGCAACCACCACAGGGTCTGCATGCATAAGCGAAGCCCAGGTAGGGGTCCAAGCCTTAAGGGGGGTTAGGCCAGGACTTCTGCTCCCCACGGAAGCTCACAAGGGACCCTGAGTAGGGATCTATGACTCAACCACTGCAGAAGCTCCTAACCCAAGCTGCAGACCTGCCAGTGGGGATCCTGGGGTGTTCAGACCCAGGCTCAAGGAGAAGGGACAACTTACCATCTCTGGATGACTGGGAGCCAGAGGAGAACTGAGCAGAGGAGAGGCTGTGAAGACAGAGGGATGGGACTGTTAGACACCTTCAGGGGCAGGAGGAGAAGACAGAGCGCCCGGAGCAGGCAAGCTGGGCACTCACTGGGCATCCTCGCCCTCCAGCAGGCGGCGGTAAGTGGCGATCTCCTGCTCCAGCCGCGTCTTCACGTCCAGCAGGATCTTGTACTCCTGGTTCTGCTGCTCCATCTCACAGCGCAGCTGGGCCAGCTGCTCCTCCACGCCGCCGATCATGTCCTGGATCTGGGCCAGCTGCATGCAGTATCGGCCTTTGGTCTCCTCCAGGCTGTTCTCCAAGGATGCTTTCTGCGAGGCAGGTAGAGGACCCAGGGTCACCTCGGATGGCCACACCCTCTCCGTTAACCCAGGTCCACCCTGGGTTCAGCCATCGCATTCTCACCATGCTGAGCTGGGACTGCAGCTCGATCTCCAGGTTCTGCACAGAGCGCCGCAGCTCAGAGATCTCAGTCTTGCTGCTCTGCAGAGCCTCAGTGTTGGTGGCCACCTCGCGGTTCAGCTCCTCCGTCTGCACAGAGTAAGAACCCCGTTTGCAACAGAAGGCCCCAAAGGCGGAGCGCCCGGGCCCAGCCTCTGCCAGAGCCCCCCTACCTTGCTGAAGAACCACTCCTCCGCGTCCCTGCGATTCTTCTCAGCCATCTTCTCGTACTGGTCGCGCATCTCGTTCAGAATGCGGCTCAGGTCCACGCCAGGGGCCGCGTCCATCTCCACATTGACGTCGCCGCCCACCTGGCCACGCATGGTGTTCATTTCCTGATCAAAGAGGAGAGAAGGTCTGCATGAGGAGCCCGGCCAGACCCCGCCCTCCCAATTACCCCGAACCTCTGCTCCCCCGGCCTGTCGCTCCACTGCCTCTTCCTCTTAGCGCCCACCTCCTCGTGGTTCTTCCTCAGGTAGGCCAGCTCCTCCTTCAGGCTCTCGATCTGCATCTCCAGGTCGGCTCTGGCCAGGGTCAGCTCGTCCAGCACCCTGCGCAGCCCGTTGATGTCCGCCTCTACGCTCATGCGCAGGTTCAGCTCAGTCTCGTACCTGGAATGACCCAGGGGCAGAGGAATGAAAGGGCCCTGCTGGCCACACAGGAAGCCCCGGTCTCTCCGCCTGCAGCTTCTTTCCAGGCTGGCACCCGGAGAGTGGATTTTGAACACAGTGCCCATTAATCACTCAGACAAGAGCCTTCCTTTTGCCCCAGAAATAAGGCCAAACTCAGGAAGGGAGATGCTTCCAGCTTCAGCTGGCCAGTGAGGCTCTGGGCCTCCAAGTATGACCTGCAGTTGGGGTGGGGGCCAGGCGTGCCTCTCCCTACAGCAGTGCTAGCAAACCTGGCTGTGGACCAGGCTGTGGACTTTTTAATAGGAAACCTATTAAAAAGACCTGAACCAAAACTCAAGGGTGGTGCCCAGGAGCCTTACATTTTACAAGCACCCCAAGGGCTTCTCCTGGCACCCGGCAGCTCTGTGTGGGAAAGATTCCAAAAGCGCCCCACCCTGGGAAGACGGGGTGTACTGAGCACCGCCCCCACCGAAACTCACTTGGTACGGAAATCATCCGCAGCCAGGCGGGCATTGTCAATCTGCAGGACAACATTGGCATTGTCCACGGTGGCCGTGAGGATCTGCAGAACAGAAAGGACGCCTCGTTAGGTGGACATCAGCAGCCAGGCACCAGCACAGCCTGCAGTGGTCGGCGGGGGTCCTGCTCTTGCCCAAGTCCCCTTCCTGAGGGACAACCCCAAGGTGCCTGCCCTGACCCAGAAATTAGAAGCATGATGGGCAGAGAAGTAGGAGGAGTCCAGGCTCTGGAGCTGGGGCTCCAGTCCCCAGCTTGCTAGGAGAGTTGGACCGGCTCCCTAGATGGGCTCTGCACCCCGAGTCTCCCCCTACACAGGAGGCAGCTCTGCCACTGGTGCCCCACACACGCACACTTCCCTCTCCAGGCCACCGTGCACGTGGCCTCAGGTGGGACTTTCCCAAGAGACAAGACCCAGCTGGAGCCAGGGATTAGAAGGAGGAAGCATTGGAGAAAACATGACAGAAGAGCCCTGCACCCAGCTCGGTTTCCCCTCAGTCACCCCATTTCCTAATCCCTGCACAAGCAGCAGTGCCAAGTGGGCTCTGCAAGGGGCTCCTGGGGCGATGGAGTAGAGCAGAGAGCCCAGGCCTTCCAGGGCCCAGGTGTGGCTGCAGCTGATCACAGCTGTGGGTTTCCTGCATCCACCCAAGGCTCATGGGCGGCGGCGGCGGCAGCCACAGCTCAGACTAATGAGCTCATGAGCGGTCTGGGTGTCTCGCCGGCCCGTTACGCCGCGCCCTCCTCACCTACATGGAGAGCAGGTTGCTGCCTCCTGTGCTATGCAGGAGGGTGGGGTGCCAAGGCCCCAGTCATCACACCCACAAAGTTTCAACTGCTTCCCCTGCTAATGTAGGGGTAGGAACTGCCTGGATCTGAGGGTGGGAGCCCAGGACGTGAGCAGCATGAGGAGGGGGCCCACCCTCTCCCCAGCAGCTGTTTGGGGCACCCAGGATGCCTGGAGAGGGGATCAGGGCTTGCAGTCTGTCCTGTCTGGAAATCTGGAGGTGCCAGGGGCCTGGGGCATCTGTTGCTTCCAGAGGGGGTGGCCAAGGTGCTACCCACCTTGTTCCTCAGGTCCTCGATGGTCTTGTAGTAGGAGCTGTAGTCCCTGTTCTCCACGGGCCTCTGCCTCTGGTACCAGTCCCGGATCTTCACCTCCAGCTCAGCGTTGGCCTCCTCCAGGGCACGCACCTTCTCCAGATAGGAGGCCAGGCGGTCGTTGAGGTTCTGCATGGTCACCTTCTCACTACCAGCGAGGAGCCCGTCGCCACCACCGAAGCCAACACCAAAGCCACCACCAAGGCCACCACCCAGGCCAGCACCGAGGCCAGCACCGAGGCCACCACCATAGCCAGCAAAACCTCCATATCCTCCACCGAAGCTGCTGCTGCTGCTAAAGCCACCGCCATAGCTCCCCCCCATCCCGCAGGCTCCCCCAGAGGAGAAGCGGGAGGAAGTGACCGACAGGCCCCCATAGGCGCTGGGGGCCAGGACGGAGGAGATGCGGCTGGAGCCGCCCCCGATGCCGCAGGAGCCCTTCATGGAGCTGGAGGAGGTGAACTGGCGGCTGCAGGTGGTCATGGTGCCCGGGAGGAGGTGAGACAGTGAGCAGGTGGCAGAGACAGAGAGAGAGAGAGGCCAAGCCGTGCTGGGAGCTGGAGGACGAAGGGCTTTATACGCTGGGGAGGGGGCGGGCCTGGCATTTTCCATTCCCCTGGGCTTTCATCACCCTCGGGCCAGTGCCAACTCCCAGGCGGCTCCCTCTTCTCCTCTGCCTCGTCACGCTCGTCATATTTTACTGGAAACGCATTGTTTGGGGTGTTTGGGGCTTTCTGGTCCCGCCAGGTGTGATTCACCAGGGAGGTGCGGGCCTGCGGGCTATGCTTTCCTCATCATCGGGCCTGGGAGCCTTGGGACCCTGTACGCTGGGCCCAGCTGGGCCAAGAGCACAGCCTCTGTGTGGTGACCCTGGTGACCTGCTAGCTCCCTGGTACCTGGTGTCCCCACTGAGGGCAATGGAGACCACCCTCATCCACAATCCAGGCACAGCTGGGCGGCCCTGGCTCCTTATTCAGATGAACCTCCACCCTCTGGGGACCAGGATGGGGACATGGTGTGGACTGCCCAGCATGGCCATGGCCAAGTAGCCCCATGGGGACAACCAGAGTCCCCAGGAAAGGTCAGAAGGGGTGAGTCTCACTGGCCCCTGCCATCTACACCCGGAGTCTGTTTGCTCATCTGCAGAGTGGGGTGAAGGCCTGCTGAGCCCCCTGCAACCTGGGCCCAAGGAGCTGTGACCAAGCCCGGCAAAGCCTTCCCAGCAGGGCTGTGGCCCAGAACTGTGGCTGAGGTGACAAGTGGGCCTGCAGGAGGACTTTGCTATTGGAGGGGGGTTGTTTGTTTGTTTGAGACACAGTCTCACTGTATCATGTAGGCTGGCCCCGAACTCCGTGATCCTCCTGCCTCAGCCTCCCCAGTGCTGGGATGACAAGTGTGCCCCACCACACACTACTGAGAGGACTTTTCCTCCCAGATCCCCATTTCCTCTTAGCCTGTCCCCCCATGCAGCCCTGCTGGGGGCAGATCCAGTCTGCATTCAGCCCTTTGTGGGTTTGACCCCAGTGGTGTGGGAGTTAGCAGGGCTATGTCCAGGCTGTGGGCAGAGTGGACAAAGTCGGGGTGCATCTTCAGGGGTCCAGCTGGCCATCAGCTCCCCATATCCCTCAACAGCCCTCCAAGCCCCGCCCCAGCCCCCAGCCTGAGACCACAGGCAGGTGTGCCAGAGAGGAATGTGCAGTCGTGTCTGGGGCTGCCTGGCCCTGGCCGGCCCACCTCCCCGACAGGCCCCGACAGCCCTAACAGCCCTGCCGAGGGAGGCTCGAGTGCTTCCCTGAGATCAGCGGCTCCTGGCGGCCGGGTAGCAGAGCCTCCACACCCCACCCTGGCCGCCAGGAAACCCCAAATGGGTGCCCTCACCCATGGGGCTTAGGAGCTCAGGAGCCAAGGCTGACAGTCCTGAGCCCCGGGCTCCCCAAATCTGCAGTGCCCAGGACTCCTGAAGATGTGAGTAAGCCAGGCCCCACCCAGCTCCACCTGCCCTGACAGACACCCTCATCTCCGTCCAGGGCAGGACCTGCCCCGCCCAGCCCTGGCCCTCCCCGACAGGAGGCAGCAGGGCCCTGGGCTGAGGGGCGCACCACACAGCTGGCTGAAGGATGGGGAGTGGGGTCCTCGTGTGGAAAAGCCCCATCCAGAGACATGGGGAGGAGGATGGGGTACAGAGCCAGCCTGTTTCCTCCTAGGTGACTCCTGTCTGCCTCCCCTCTGCAGGGAACAAAGACAGAATCTCTGGAGCCCAGGGCCACCAAGAGGCTCTGCTCCTCCCCATCCCACTCCATGGGCCCCCAGGAGGGTCCCCTGGTCCCCAGCACCTCCTCAACTTCCTCCCCTCCTCCAACAGGAACAGAAAGTAAAGATGGCAGTGACCAGTGACAGCTGGACCCACACTCACATCCACCCGTGAGGAGGCCTTTGCTGGCCTTCATGCCTGGACCTGGGCCACAGCATGGATCCCACTGACTTCTGCAGGAACCAACAGACCAGGGCCCAGGGGCCACAGACAGCCCCCCATGTGCCACCTTCCCTGGCACTTGGCATCTTGAGAAGAGCTCGTGGGTGCAGAGCCAGTGTGGGGCTGGGGTGGGCATCAGAGCCACCTACCTCCCGCACTCGCTGTGCCCAGGGGAGGGAGAAGGAGAGGTCAGGGCGGTGCCTCCTGTGGGGAGCAAGTGTCCTGCCAAGCCAAACAGGTAAGGCTGGCAGGCCAGGCAGGCCCCACGGGACTTGCGCTGTGTGCAAGCTGGATCGGGCCCCAGGGTACAGCCCCTGTGCCCCAAGTCTGAGACCAGAGTCTGTGTCCCTTCCCCACTAGGCAGCCCCCGGCCACAAAGAGGGAGGAGGAGGTGCCCAGCCTTGGGAATTCAGGTCAGTCCAGTGTGAGAAAGCACGATCCCTGCTTTCTGGAACCTCTGAACCACAAACTCAGTGGCTTAAAACAACCGAAAGGTACCTGGTGTGGTGGCGCACGTGTATCATCCCAGCACTTGGGAGACTGAGGTAAGAGGATCTTTGCAAGTTTGAGATCAGCCTGGGCTGCAAAGTGAGCTCAAGGCCAGCCTGAACTGCATAGTGAGACCCTGTCTCAAAAGAAAACAAAAACAAAAGGTATCCTCTAGGTCCTGGAGACAGACACCCAGGGCCACGGCCTTGGGAAGCACCCCCTCCCTGAGGGGTTCCCCGTGCCTCTGCCAGCCCCTGCAGGAGGAGAATCCCAAGCTGCCCTCCTCCTGAGTCCCTGCCTGTCTCTACCAGGGCACCACAGCTTCTCGCCCACACTCATCCAGTGACCTCCACCTGTCCTTCCCAGTTAGGCCACGCTCCACGGCTCCGGGTAGATGGGCGCTGGGAGGATGCCCAGGCTGCTGCCCCTGCCACAGACCCCTGCCCCCTTCAAGACAGAGGGGGTCATTGTGATAAGGCAGGCGGCTCCCCCTCTGGAAGCAGCCCTGGGCTCAGCTTCTCCCCTGTCCTGGGTCTGCACTCCCTACACCCAATTCTCTGGCTCCTTCACTAATAAACACCAATAAATAAAAATAAGCTTATTTTTGTTTTTATTTTTATTTTTATTTTTGATTTTGTAAGGTGGGCTGTCTTGCAGGTTGCCCTTGAACTCACTACATAGTCCACCCTGGCCTCAAACTCGAGGTGATCCTCCTGCCTCAACCTCCCAAATGCTGAATGACAAGCGTGCACCCCAAGTCTGTCGAGCACTGAACCATTTTCAGCACCGACTTTCCACTCAATGCCTCGCTGTTACAAGAGACAGTTCAGGATCGTGTGCAGCACTCGTCTCCTCTGACTGTGACAGCCTGGGTCTTCCCTGCCCCTGGTGACCTTGTGCAATGCCCTCAGTTGGAATTTTCCTGTGATCACACTGTAGTCACGGTGCATCTTACTGAGAAGCCCACAGAAGCAATGTTTTGGTCCTCTGTGCTGCCTCCTGACAGCAGGACCAAGACGCTGGCGCACTCTTGTCCCTTGATGGCTTGGGAAGCTTTGTTCTGGACCCTGGGGGACTGCAGTTCCTGAAAAGTCTTGGGGGTCCCAGGCCTAGAGAAAGAAGGTGCTCACCCCTACTCCAGCCAAGCCAGGCTGGGCGTCCCCACCCCTCCTGGACACTCCCATGCCCCCTGCACTCAGCCCCTGTCCCCATAGGTGTCTTGGGTTCTTCGCCATTCCCTGGGTCCATTAAGGCAGTCACAGAACGGTGACCCCCAGGCCGTGGCCCCCAGCCTGGCCTCCTCCTCTCCTCCTGGGAGCTGTGCTGCCACTCATCCTTAGCTCCTCACCCTGCCCACCCCACTGCCCATCACATTGCCGCCTAGCACACAGACAGGGAGGGCAGTGGCCCTCAGAGCTGCCCCTTGAAGGGACAGTGGGCTGGGACAGTAGGCCAGCAGCCTCTGCCCTCAGAGCTCAGGGCCAGCGTAGGCAGCAGGAGAAGCCAGCGGCCTGGCAGGAGGGCAGCTCCTCCTCCAGCCTGGTGCCCTTCTCCCCAGAGAGCTCTGCTGCCACCCCCTGGTTTCCCAGGCCAGCTGGGCCAGATGACCTTGCGACACATCAGGTGGCTAAGCTGACGGGGGTCAGTGGCCCAGTGAGGCCCACAGTGCAAGTGTGGCTGGGGCAGAGACTCCTCCATCCTGGTCCACAGCTGGGGAGCAGCTGGGTCCAAGTCCAACCCTGCCCTGCCGGGCTCTAGCCCCTCCTGCTAGAAAATCCCCAAAAGCTGGAGCCCACAGCACCCCAGCAAGCACACAGCAACCCCTCAGGCAGGGAACACAAGCCCGGCGGGGGGAGGGACATGCCAGAGTCACACAGCTTGTGTCAAAGATGCAAAATCCGAAACCCTCATGCAGGCCACTGAGTCAGGCAGGGCGAGGAGACTGGGAATCACATCCAAGCTTCAAGAACTCTAAGGTCGGGGCCAAGGGCCAGCGATGGACTGGCTTGCAAACTCTCCAGGAGCTCCCAACCCAGGGACGGCACAGCTCAGAGTTCTACTGCCCATTACCCATGGTGCTCCACTGAAGTGCAGCTCCACCTCAACCCCTCAGAGAGCTCCACAACCCCAGCATCCTCCAGTTCCGGCCTGAATGGCCTCGCCTGTCCTCTCCTCCCCAGTCTCTCATGCTCTCCAAAGCAGGGGCCTCCTGCTGACTGAGGGGCACAAAGTAGATGCTCAGGGGAGGGAGGAAACAGGGAGGGAGAAAGGAAGGAGCAGGGAGGAGGGAGGGGAGTCAAGGTCAAGAAGGAAGAGGGGAAAGAGAAGAGAGCAAGGAACATGAAGAGGGAGCAGATGGATGGACAAATAGATAGATAGATGGATAGATGGATGTATGTATGTATGGGTAGATGGATGGATGGACAGACAGACGGATGGATGGGTGGGTGGGTGGGTGGACAGATAGACAGATGGGTGAACAGATGGATAGACGGACAGAAGGAGGGATAGATGGGTGGACAGGTGGACAAACAGATGGGTGAATGGGTGGATGAATGGGTGGATAGGTGGATGAGTGGGTGGGTGGGTGGAT